AGGGAATCCAGCTGACCCCCCTATTGTTCAGGCCCTTGGCTCTATTTTCTTCCCTCAGGTTCTAGGGTGCCAGAGACAGCCAGAATGGCCAATGCCAATTCTTTTACTGGTTTACTCCTAATTAGTGCTTTTTTGCTAATTCTAGACTCCAAGGAGTTCTTCTTTAAGACCACACACACACAAAAAATTTTTTTAAGATTTTTATCTAGCTGTTTCCTATTTGCTATAGGAGAGGTGGAATGGTGACTATGGCCCTGACTTTGGAGGGTCATCCTGCTGGTGCATGAGGAGTGGTTCTAGTCCTAGGGCTATTCTAGTCCTTGGTATTTGAACAACTTAGAACTATTCCCTGTAACAAAATGACTAAAATTCACCTGGAACACATGAAGCATTTATAACTTTTAGCTTTGATGTCGTTCTTTAAAAGAAGTCCATTAACTGGTAGTCTTATATCCCCTGATCACTTTAGTTCTATTGTAATGCAAGAAGAACTTGGTGAACTCAACTTGCTGCTAAATTTTTCAAAATAAGAATACAGTTATTAATCACCTATTATGTTCTCAAGCATTATACTACTAAGGACTCTGAGGTGGCATTGAAGAATCAGAAGAATCTGTAAGCTGAATTTTGCTGCTATTATATGTTGATTTTAAATAATGATGATGATGATAGTGACATCAGGTGAACAGCATTTCCCGATAGTTCATCAGGAAGGGTATCTAGCCCAGAAAAGATGAGAAGAGCATATTTAAAGAAGGCTGATCAGTTAAAAGAGGTAGAAGGGGCATGCTATAACAGTCTCTTAAATTGATAAATATATCAAGAAATAACTTCTAAAGAAGAAAGAAGGGAGAAAAAAATAAAAGAGAGAAGAAAGTTGGATTTGAGTTCAAGAAAACTTGTCAGGATATTAAAATCCAGTAGTATCTTGATAGATGTACTATTCCTTTGTTCCTTAACTGGAGCTTTCAAGAAGTAATAACTAAAATCTACTAGAATTCAACTATTTTTAAGAAATCAACTACATATAATTCTAAATTTGATCACATGAGACTGGAAGCATGTGACATGTATGGTTTGCTCCCCTTAAAGGAGCATTTATGTCACTGCTGCAAGAGTCAAATCCTAAAGACTCAAATTGTTAACAAGTGAAACTAAGAAACTAGCAAATAGTTATTAAAGAAGTATTTCTGAAGATCTGTTTTACCGATTAGAGACATGTAAGATAAAGGCTTAGGGAA